TTGTTTTTTAAATCTATTCAGGTTTATCAGGTGGTTCTTTCTCATGCTTTTCACATGCACTCTAGGAGAGACACTGATCCAACCAATCCGTGTCCTATCCCTAGGAATTCTGGAAAAGTGCACTTGGCATGCCTGAGCAGCTGGAAGATCTTCGCTTTGCAATACGATGACAGGGGTTGAGGAGGAATAGGCTGATCAGGCTTCAGTGTCTGGCTTCTCTTAAAGGGATACTCCAGGCACCCAGACCACTTATGCCCTTTGGAGTGGTCTGGGTGCCAACTCCCACTACCCTTAATCCTGCAAGTGTAACTATTGCAGTTTTCATAAACTTCAATAAATACCTTGCAGGGTTAAGACCTCCTGTTGTGGCTGTCTACAAGACAGCCACTAGAGGACACTTCTATGTTCTTAGAACACAAAAAGTGTTTTAAATCGACGCTGGACGTCCTCGCGCTATGTGACGGCGGTGGAGCAGCGTAGACGGAGCCTGACCAGCGCCGAGGGACATCGGCGCTGGACTCTGGCAAGTCACTAAAGGGGGTTTGAACCCCTTCATCAACTTGGAATGGGGGGTGGGAGGGAGAGGGGCACTAGAGGGTCCTCCAGTGCTAAGAAAACTGTTTTCCTGGCACTGGAGAATCCTTTTCATGCTGCACAATGATGCCCTGTTTCTGTCATTAGTGGGCTGATCTGAAACTGAGGTGGGTGAGTAAGAGGGGACGGGGGTGAAGAACCTCCACTAGCTGGAAGGTGTGCACAATAATGCAATTTGAAACTTATTTAAAGGGACACTAAAGTCACCAGAACAACTAAAGCTTATTGTATTTGTGCTGGGGAGTATAATCATTACCTTCAGACTTTTTGCTGTAAACTCTGTCTTTTCAGAGAAAATGCAGTATTTACATTACAGCCTAGGGATACCTCCACTTTACTCAGATATCTGCTAGAGGTGCTTCCTGGGGCAGTGTTGCACAGTGTGACTGATATTCAGTGTCTCTGCAGACACTGAACTTTCCTCATAGAGATGCATTGATTCAATTCAACTCTATGAGGATATGCTGACTGGCCCGGGCTGTGTTTGGCTTATGCTGGCTCTGCCCCTGTCTGCCTCCTTGACAGTCTCTGCTAATCTTATGAGGTAGCATTTGTGATTGGCTCAGATCTAAAGATGTGGGGGGGACGTGGGTTTTAATGGTGGTTTTAACACTATAGGGTCAGGAATACACGTTTGTGTTCCTGACCCTACAGTGTTCCTTTAATAAAAGTTTATAAACGTGGTCAACCTTTTTTCTTGAATTTTTTTCTTTCTTTTGTATATCTCTTTAACCCCTTAAGGACCAAACTTCTGGAATAAAAGGGAATCATGACATGTCACACATGTCATGTGTCCTTAAGGGGTTAAAGTACTTGATTGCTGGTTTAAAAATTGTCAAGTGATGCATGTCCCTTTTTAAAGGGACACTGTAGGCACCCAGACAACTTGAGCCCATTGAAGTGGTCTGGGTGCCAACTCCCATCACCCTTAATCCTGAGCATGTAATTATTGCAGTTTTTAAAAACTGCAATAATTACGTGCTCAGGATTAACTGATCCTCTAGTGGCTATCTACCATTGCTTATATGACTTGGTCGTCTAAACATCCCTGGAGGTCCCCACTCTATGCATTGAACAATGCTTTCCTATGGGGAGATCCTAATGCGAGCTCTGCCATTGCATGGGTGGAGCTGAGCCAACGCAGAGGGACATCGGCCCTGGATCCAGGTAAGTGACAGAAGGGGTTATTAACCCTTTCTGCACCACGGGGGGTGGACCTTGACAGAAGGGGAAGCTACAGTGCCAGGAAAACTAGTTTGTTTTCCTGGCACTATAGTTTCCCTTTAAACTTCAAATCTTTCATAGGTATAAACTCTAAGATCCTTTAGGGATGCATGGAAACGAAAAAATTCTGGGCCGATACCGAAAATTCAGGATGCCTTTGACCGAAAATGACGTTTTTTCCCCCAAGTGACTTTGAATTTTTTTTTATTTATTTTTTTCTAAAATTTTATTAAAGGGATGCTCCAGGTACCCAGACCTCTTTTGCCCATTGGAGTGGTCTGGGTGCCAACTCCCACTACCATTAACCCTGCAAGTGTAATTATTACAGTTTTCATAAACTGCAATATTTACCTTGCAGGGTAAAGTCCTCCTCTAGTGGCTATCTATCAGACAGCCACTAGAGGGACTACCGTGTTCATAGAACACAAAAAGTGTTTTAAAATGACACTGGACGTCCTCACGCTATGGAGCATGGGCGGAGCCTGACACAGCGCCAAGGGACATTGGCGCTGGACTCTGGTAAGTCACTGAAGGGGTTTTAACCCCTTCAGCAACTTGGGGTGGGAGGGAGAGGGGCATTCACAAAATAAATGTTTTCCTGGCACTGGAGAATCCGTTTAATATTAGACTTTTTAATAAATCTAATATGAAAAACTTACCTTCTCTTTTAGTGGTCCCCACCGTTTAATGTTCCCCTCCCTTTTTTTTAAAAGTATTTTAGTATCCTCCACAGCCCCATAGTGTGTTTTTTTTTTTTTTTTTTCAACCTCCCGTGTCCCATAGTGTTCTTCCCCTCTCACCTCCCCTGACCCATAGTGTTCTTCCCCCTCACCTCCTGACCTGACCCATGTGTTGTCCCCGCCTTCCCTGACCCATAGTGTTGTCCCCGCCTTCCCTGACCCATAGTGTTGTCCCCTGACCCATGGTGTTGTCCCTTCCCTGACCCATGGTGTTGGTTTCCCTTACCTGACCCGTGGTGTTGTTTTCCCCTTGACCCGTGGTGTTACCCCTTACTGACCCGTGGTGTTGTTTTCCCCCTTCCTGACCCGTAGTGTTGTTCCCCCCCTTCCACCCGTGGTGTTCTTCCATAGTGTTCTCCCTCCCTCCCCTCCTCCTGTGTTCTTTTCTCCCCCTCTCCTGTCCCATAGTGTTCTTTTCCCCCCCCCTCTCCTGTCCCATGGTGTTCTTTTCTCCCCCCTTCCCTGTCCCATAGTGTTTTCTTCCCTGTCCCATAGAGTTCTTTCCTCCCCCCCCCGTCCCAAGTGCAGTATTCTTGACTTTTCATGTTATCATTAATATCTTTCATTGTGATATATAATCATCTGAATTGTTAATGCAAGCATGTCTGTTAAACTTTGCACTACAAAAAAAATAAACACTTTATTATTATTTATTTTTGTATAATTTTGGTCAATTTTACCAGTTTTCGGCTGAAACGGGATAGGCCCATTTTCGGTCGAAATTTCAAGATCCTCTAATTGTAACCAATTTTTTTTTTTTTTTTGTTGGCTACACGTGTCAAAGTATTCTTCTGTCCTCTTACAGAAAACTGTTGTCTCATGCTGAAACCGTGAAAAGGAGGGTTTCAAAGGGTGGGATCTCGTTGTACTTCACATTGCCAGCAATATGTAGAACATAGCAGAGCACTAGTTATTCATACATCTCATCCTTTAGCCCAGGGGAAAAAAAAATCCATAACTATATATAACTAGTTAATGACTCAACTCTCAGAACGTTCTTGTCATTGTGACATGAACGCATCGTAAACTGGTTCATCTTTCTTCATATATTATAAGACTGTTAAATATGCATACTTTAGAATTATGGGAAAATGATACAAATGTTTGTCTTCTAGAAATGCAGGGAATTATTGTATTTGATAAGTAGATTTATGTAAAATGGTCTGACATTGAAAATTCTTTTGAAAGATATTCAACACAACAAGTGAGCAATTTGAAGGAAATGTATAGGGATAGGTGGTCAGTAGTGATATCCCGAACGGTTCGCTGCGGACTCCAGTCAGCAGACACATTCCAGCCAATCAGCAGCAGACCCCACCTCCCGGACAGCTCACTAAGAATGCAGCTTCAAAATGGATGCTGTCCAGGCGGTGGGAGGGAGGGTCTGCTGCTGATTGACTGGAGTCCACGGCGAACCGTTCGGGACATCACTAGTGGTCAGAAAAAAAACTGACCTAATAGAGACTAAATGTTAGGGTAGCTCCTGAGACAATTGATAGAATACAAAAATAAGGAGGCGTGCAAATGCACAAAATATCTCAACTGGTATAGCATAGCTCCCACGGTAGCTATAAATAAAAAAAAAAAAAAAAAGTAACACGCAGAATTAAGATAAATCCCAAACGTACCAGGAGATGTATTGTAGGCAAAGCAGATAAATAGGTGCTAGTGGTTATTGTATTCAATAGAACACAAAATGTCTCTTAAAATGAGTAATACGTCTTCACATAATACATAAAAACCCTTGAGGTATTGCCAGGAAAAGTGCTGCCTTTAGCTAAAACAAGTGGGGCACATCAATTAACCCCTGAAGGACACAGCTTCAGAAGCTTGACTTACGCTTAATGACACAAGCAATTTTTGCATTTTCTTGCTGTTTGCGTTAAACTGCAATTTGCATCTCTCTCATTTATTGCACCGACACACATTATATACTGTTTTTTAAAGGACAGAAAGGGCTTTAATTTGATAGAATATATATATATATATATATACTTTATTATAAAAAAAAAATACAGAAAAATGCAAACAAAATGAAATTTTTTTTTTACAGTTTTTGCAATAATAATGTGTGCATAATTAGTGCAGGTTAAGGAAAGTAATTAAAAATAAATTCATTAAGTTGTTCTGATTTACAGAATATATAATGTGTCTGGGATTTTAAGGTTTTTTTTGGTAGTTACGGGTCACAAAGCACAAGGAGTAAAATTAAACTTTTAATGTGGAGCGATTTTAGAATTTGGTATGTTCGTCTTGTAAGCTTAATAGCCATAAAAGAAACCATAATTGCCACACAAAAGTATATATTTATATAAAGTAGACATCACAGGCTATTTACCTAAGGTGGTTTTGACACTTTCTACGTAGCCATTTCACCGCCAACCTCTGCCAAATATTGGAGTAAAATTGTGGGGGGTTTTTTGTTTGTTTTTTTGGGGGGTTTTTTGGCACACAAACGTATAACAAAGAACTTCTCATGTTTATTTTGTAAAGTTGGTGTGTGCTATTCCTGTACAAAGTTTTATTTTGTGTTCAATTACATTTGCTGAGTAAAATGAAAGCCCCATTGTATGTCTTTGGCACTATTTCGTGAAGTTACAGTGCCATTTAGGAGACCTGTCCTTTTCAGTATTCACAGTAGAATTTTCAGAGACAGTTTTAATGAGCCTATGCTTCCATTTGGGGTATTATAACAGTTTGACTGTTCAAAAAAAACTCACAAAGGCCTACCATTTGTAAATTAGACACTCCAGGGTATCTCTTAAGGTGCATATTAGGCCTTAACATGCCCCCATTTTTTTCACCAATATATGCCAAAGTATGTGGTTAAAAAAAATAATTGTGCGTTTTTTACATATGGATTGCATTTTTGCTGGGCATTTTGTATATTTCACATGTGCCACTAAGTTCAAACCCCCCAAATTATGCTCAACTAAGTCTTCTGAGTAAAATGACACCCCATATGAATGTCTTTGGCACTATTGCGTGAAGCTACAGTGCCATATAGGAGATCTATCCATTTCAGTATTTACAGTACAATTTTGAGAGATGGATTTAATTGGCCTATGCTTTTGGGGCATTATTGCAGTTGGAAAGTTAAAAAAAACCCTACAAAGGCCTACCATTTCTTAAAGTAGACACCCCAGGGTATTTCAAAAGGCATATTTTAAACCTTAGCGTAGGATCATTTTTTTTTTTATTTTTTTTTTTGTACCAAGTCTAGTTACAATTAGCATTTTTTCTGCCTTTTTGACACACACTTGGAGATGTTACTGTATATTTTGTAATCCTTATGTGTGCTATGGCAGTATAACACCTAATATGTTGCTCAGCTATGTCCTCTTAGTGCAGCAATACCCCCACGTTTACCTTTTTCAGGGTTATGTGGATGTTGAAGGGGCACCACTTTCATATTTTTCAAAAGTGGATGCTGGGCCAAAGTGTTATTTTAGCAGCTCAGGACAGGAAATTACCTCTCAAAGACCACATATATTTTTAAGTATAAGCAGCTCATCAATTCAAATTATGAACAAGTGCATACTATTTGCTGTGAAAAGGGGGATTAGTTGGCTTAAACTTATCTGGGGGTAGTACCCAGTAATCTGCATCACGGGCAACGCTGTCACGGATTCCAAAATACAGACAGACTACAAAGAGAGAGAACAAAGAGAGAGACACTTGTAATACCGGTCCTTAGAATGGCCGGGCTATACAAGCAGAGAATAGTCAAGGCACAAGCAGACGTCAAAGGGGTAAAGAGAAACGGAACAACGATAGGACAAGCCGAGGTCAAGGATCAGAGAAGACAGGATAAACGGGAGACAAAGCCAAGATTTGGTAACCAGACAGTTGACTAAAATCAACACCCCAAAACTGGTCTGCTTATTCGGCCTGGGTGTGGAAAATTTTAAAACAGTGGCCAATACATAGGCCGGGCTGAGAGGGGCAATCAGGACAGTAATAGCTGGTCTCAACTCTTACGCCCCTCTTGTAGCACACCCTGCATCTTTTCTGGGGGTTTTTCTTTCTGGAGGTTGATGGAATCTTGAAGCAGAAGTGACCTGCCTCCATTCTTCTGCTAGGCTCCACTGATTGTCCCCCTCTGTGGCACTCAAGTAACCCAGAAATGAGCTGAAATTGAAATGAAAGGAATGTGCATTTCAGCTCAGCATTTGCCTTTTTAAAAATAATAAAGGCATTGTGGACTGCCGTCTGCATTATATATATGCCCACTTTTTTATACCATGCCCTGGTTTTCCGCATGATTAAATACGGCTGCATTAGTTGATCGGACAGGTCAACTCCCCCCATATGCCGATTATATTGCTGTATGCAGACTGGCACCTGTTTACATTGCTCTCTGCCACGAACTGCGACCCTGCGAGTGTTTTCACCATGGATGGTAGTTAGGATGAAAACCTCCTTTTTATCGCGGTACTTGAGTGCCAGCAGTTCATTCTGGCAGAGAGCTGCTGTTTCCCCCTCTTTTAATTTTTTTTCCACTAGAGCCTTTGGGAAACCTGTGCGACTCTTCCTGATAGTGCCGCAGGCCACGGTCTCAAAACAGTACAGCATTTGTAAGAGTGGGATGCTGTTATAAAAGTTATCGATGTATAAGTGATAACCGTAGTTAAGTAAGGGCATTATTAAGTCCCAGACAATTTTCCTACTTGTCCCTATTATATCTGGGCAACCTGGGGGATCAAGGTGGCTATCCCTTCCTTCGTATACACGGAAGGTGTACACATAGCCACTGCCACTTTCACATAATTTATAAAATTTGATCCCATACCGGGATCTTTTGGATTTGATGTACTGTCTAAATCCCAGTCTTCCCTTATATTTCATGAGGGACTCGTCAATTGAAATTTGTTTTTTGGGGGTGTAAATAGTGGCAAATTTTTCATTAAAGTGGGAAATTAGAGGGCGTATTTTATAAAGAATGTCATACTGGGGATGACCTTTTGGGGGGCACTTCATATTGTCATTAAAGTGCATAAAACACAGTATGTCCTCATATCTCTCCCTATGCATTGTCTGGGAAAAAATGGGGTTATTAAAAATAGGATTTTTAGTCCAATACATCCTAATTGTGGGCTTTTTAACTATGCCCATTAACATTGTCAGTGCCCAGAATTGTTTAATTTCTGGCACACTGGTTGGGTACCATCTCTCTGTCCTGGCGATTCGGGAGTCTTGGTTATGTACAAGATACTGCTCCGCATACAGATTCGTCTGGGTAACTACCTCCCCAAAAAAATCATCCCCCAAAAATAGCTCCATACAATCCAGCGCATTATAGCCAGACAGGTCAGCCTGTATGCCAGGATTGGCAGTGAACACTGGGATGTCTGGCGAAAAATGATTAGGGGGTACCCAGTCATCTGCGCCATATTGAACATTAGGGGAATCAGCGATTTCCTCTGATGTTACTGCAGTATCTGGCACATAGTCCCTGTCCCCTGCGTCACTCCCTGCGTCACTCTCTGAGGCAGTGTCGGTCGCCTCTGAGTCAGCGGCTAACAGGGCATAAGCCTCCTCTGCGCTATACTTTTGCAACATTGTTAATACAGTTAACACAGCTAAGAAAACTTTTAACTAAATAACTAAACTTTTTTTTTTTTTTTTTTTACCCCTAACTAAATTCCCCAATTACCACTAAATTCCACCCACCCAACTAACTAAATCACAAATTAATAAAATAAAATAACAAAATTGAACCCCTTAGGGTTACAAAAAAAATAAAATGTAACCCTTAAGTGTAAAAAAAAAATAGATCACAGTAAAGTACTGTGACCTGTATATTGATCACTGCTAGCAGTGATCAAGCAGCAGGGAAAGGGTTAATTTTTTTTTAAATAAAGGGGAAAGGGATTAGGAACCTTTAATAGATATTCACTATTCTTCTGGGACACAATGTTGCAACGATCCGTCTCTCTCCACTTCACAAACCCACAAGAGGTGGAGGGAGGCGGATCAGATATCCCAGCAGTATTGTGACCACTGTGACTGGCTGTAACAGCGATCACATGTGCTGGGACATCGCAATTTGCTGTTGCTGGTCTGCCCCTGACTCTGAGGCACACAGCAACAGCGTTAACCCCGCGATCGCCAGCACTGCGGCGATCGCGGGGTTAATTTTACAGCGTGACGGACGAGGTCCGTAACCCGTCGTTAGGGGTATCCCCAGGATGACTGACCTCGTCCGTCACCCGTCCTGAAGGGGTTAAGTAGTTGATTGAATATCAATGCTGGAATAATATTAACAAGATGCTCTAAAAATATTGCTTCCAAGTGTGCTCAAACAATGAATATAAACAAGATGTAAATAGATAAATATGCAGTTAAAACACAGTCCATAAAAGAGATGAGGAAAAAAAGCAGTCTTTGGAGAATCTTTCTTTTTGCAACAATGTCTCAACTGTCTGGATAAACACGTATGTTATAAATTGCAAATAATCCAAAGCTGATGTATAATATACTCTGCAATATAGAGTATGCAGTCAATGTCCAGTTCTCAAATGGTTGTATCTTGCTGGAACAGCTGTAGAAAAAATATAAATGTTATCACTTATAGATCACAGTAATAGATCTAAACTGGCTGGATCTTCACTGTATTCTGAAAAATAAATGGAGAAGCCATAGTGCTCTCTATAAAACAATCGGTTTATTGTAGAAAAGAATAGAAACACTCACAGAAATTCAAGTCAAACGGGCATATCTGGAAAAATTTGTGGCTGCAGGATATGGAGACACGGTGGTTAGATGAAATCCTCCCTCTGGCCGGCTGAGAGGAGGTAATCTGCCGAGATCGGTGTTGCTGCTCATGGCATGCGTTCCAATTAGTCCCAAGCCTGCATTCCACTCCAACCAGAAAATAGCGGTTGCCGTAAAGCTGTACGTGTTTCGTGATTCAAGTTCAGTTCATCAGAGGCTGGTAGCTGAATGTAACTGTCCCGCTTATATACAAAGCACTTCAATTAGCCGTATGAGAGCGGCAGCTGGATACAGGTTCTTCATATACTTATACACATGTTGTACTGGTAGTAACAGAAAAACTCCACATATTGGTGGCTTGATACATATGGTGACCACAAGAAGAAATCATCTTTAAAATTGAAATTGTATAAATCATCTTGCAAAACAGTGAAGATAAATCTTATAAATGATTGGTTGTAAAACAATAAAATTGAATAATACATTTAACAATACAGACACTTCTGACTCCACTTGTATGTATATGGATACAACTTAAGTGGAAAAGCATTAAAATAAGGACTGCGTGGAAAAATAAAGTAGTAAAAAATAATAAATATAAACATATAAATCTAGGTACACATCATAGTATGAAATGGACTGATCGGTTTCATACCTGTTGTATATTGTACGCCATTAAATGGTGGTAGTGTTGCAGAGGGCCAATTTTGTAAGGAAAGGTTGCTGGAAATGAGTGTAATGCAGGTGACTACACATCTAAAAGCCGATAGTGGATGTTACATCGGCTTTATACCAGCAGCATACTTATAAGCAATAAAAGATCTACAAATGATAGACACCCAATAAGGTAGGTTGTGTAAAAAATATTTTTGGCGGTATGTCTCCGGAGTCACTGCGTACCGAGCCAGGAGTGCCTCTTTAACCCATTCGTCCGTAGCCACTCTGTGCAGGTTACACTGTCGCTCGAAACCCACTAGATAGCTATCAATCTCGTAGTCATTCTCATTAAAGGCACTGAAAATAATCTTCCTTGTCTCTGCTGTGCTGTGCTCTCTGCTTGGGGAGCTTGCCTGCTGGGTTTCAGCCAGCTTCATTTGCAGCTCTATTTCTCTCTTCTGTTTCTGTTTCGCCTCTTCTGCTACTGCGTTCGGTACCTGTAGCACAATGTCAGCTGTTGGGTTCGGACCGAACCATGCTAATCTCTCCCGAATCTCTCTGTTGGCTGGCGATTCATTTGCCCGAATCGCCGGTGTCTCCATCTCCTGAATAGTTGGTGTTGCTGCAACCAAGTTCTCCTGGTCTAGCTCCATTAACTCAGCAATAATGACTCGCTTGGTTTTGTTGCTAGCAATCCTTCCACAAACCTCCAACAGTTCCTTTAACGTGTTTTGTTTAAGCAGTGTATACCAGCCTTCCATTCACTGTCCCCAGTGTCTGCGTGGATTCGTGGTGCAGGAAAAAAGGAAAATGCCGCCGCTGCCAACCAGTTGTGACAGTAGTAAACTGTATCACCGTCAAGCATTCCCTTTTTCCCATAAAAGAAAATCACCAAGTAATCCACAGGAATAAATATCGCTGGTATCGCCAAATAATCCACACCTGAGCCAAAGCTTAATGCTGGAACAAGACTGATTTACTGGAAGCAACAGGCATTCAATTTATACAATAGCAGACTCCTCCTCTGGGCCACGCTAGATAATTGAGTTTCAGCAATATACATTTTGTTAAAAACATTTTTAGAAAAGTACTTTCTGCATAACATACAAATATAACAATCACATCCCTGGGTAGCTGATGATACTGGGAGTCACAGATCCAAATTTCATGAAAATCTGTTCGGTAGTTTCTGTGTCGCATCGTGGGGAAGTTTGACCGGCTCGCCACGTGGTGGTATGCGATTCAGAGTTCCATGAAATAAGCAGCAAGAGCCGGTCTCCGTTCGCGTCTAATTACCCAAAAACTACTGTACATATGTTGCAGCTTGTTACATGCGAATGCTCCCCTTGTTCGGTAGATTAAAACTCCTGAATGCCGGTTTGATACATTAAATGGAAAGTAGTCAGTCGGGACTTCCATACTGACCGGCCGTGCGCGTGATTGCAATGCCGAAAACAGTTCCAGGCAATTCACGTGTACGTCCCGCTGACCGCATTCGGGAGATTTAAGATGGCCGCCATCCTTTGTTCTCGCCACGTGTTCGTATGCCGAATGGTGGCCACCTAGGAGCACTCAATTAAGTTGTGGTTTTTCGTGTGATTACTCGATGTTTCAAGTTCTGATTGCTACATAGGGTGGTCTCTGTTCGGTAGAACGAATAAATTTTCCCGAACACATAGTTAATCGAAACTAGGGATCGACCGATTATCGTTTTTTACCGATATAATCGGCCGATATTCGGTATTGTCGACAATATCGGTATCGGCCAATTCAGATACCGATTTTGCCGATAATACCTCCTAGGACCGACAGGCTCATTACAAGCCCGGCGGTCGGGGGAGCAAGTGCTTACTTACCTCCCAGCAGCTCCCCAGTGTAACTCTCGCGAGACCCGCGGCCGTCAGAGCGTTGCCATGGGTTACCATGGCAACGCTCCTCTCGACACGCTGGCCATGAGAGTTACACTGGGGAGCTGGAGGAACTGCTGGGAGGTAAGTAAGCGCTTGCTCTCCGCCCCCAGCTCAGCCAATGCCACTGGACCACCAGAGACTGTCATATCCCCCCTCCCTGGCCCAGGCAATAAGCAGGGAGGGGGACAACAAAAACAATTAAATATTAAATATATTTTTAATAAAAAATGCCCCCTCACACACTCCATTATATACACACACTATACAAACACACACACTAGACAAACACACTGTGTATATAATGCAGTGTGTTTGTGTAGTGTGTGTATATAATGCGGTGTGTGTGTGTGTGTGTTTATATAATGCAGTGTGTTTGCATAGTGTGTTTATATAATGCACACTACACAAACACACTGCATTATATACACACTATACAAACACACACACTCTGCATTATATAAACGCACTACATTCATTATATACACACACACTACACAAACACACACTTTGCATTTAGTATATACTGCATTCACTTTACGCACACTACCTACACACTACACAAACACTGCTTTCATTATATACACACTACACTAATACACACTGCATCCACACACACACTACACAAACACACACTGCATCCACACACACTACACAAACACACACTGCATCCACAACACACACTACACACTGCATCCACTACACACTGCATCCACTACACACACTACACAAACACACACTGCATCCACTACACACACTGCACAAACACATACAGCTCCCCTGTGTAAACACACTGCATCCACTACACGTGGCATGTATATTTTGTGCGTTTACCTTTAGAAATAGTTTTTATTTTCCAAAATGGTAAATGTACAGAATATCGGCAAATTATATCGGCTATCGGCCTGAACGTTCACAGAATATTGGTATCGGCTCTAAAAAAATCAATATCGGTTGATCCCTAATCGAAACCGTCCAAAAGCAGTTAAACAGCAGAGAGAGGATATAACCGAATGCACACGGGTGAGTATAGGGGAATCCTTTACAGCGGCCTTCAGAATAAGGAAGGCACCGACCGCCCCAGCGGATGCGCCCAGGGACATCATCGCGGTAACCTGGGATACAGCCGTGAAATCAGCCATAATGGCCAATTCCAGGAAAATCCCCAGCGTACAAGTAGATGCCTGCCACACGGACTTACCATTCTCAATCCTGCTGGCCAGGCGCATGTTCCTACCCGTCACCAGACTCCTGAGAGAGCACGGCATCCGGTACCGATGAGGCGTCCTGGGAACCCTAGTAGTACCACGTGGGGAATGAAGTCCATGTCCTGTCAGCCTCTGAGGACCCAACAGACTTTTTGAAGCAACTCTAGCTGCCTCCCCTACCCATTCTGCCCCAGGCACAACAAAGGGTCGGGGCCCGGGGACCCCTAGTGACAAAGATGACCAGGAAAACCAGCTCTGGGGCGATGGAAAGTGGAGATACTCCCAGGCGGCAGAACCCTCCATAAGACTGCCCATGCCCATGGTCTCTGGGAGCCCCTATACAGCAGCGATGTAGCCTAACATTCTGGGGGTCCTGTTGCTATAAAGTTGCGGACGGACAGCTATAACTGTCTATACATGCCACTAGTTTATGTTTCAGGCGCCTTTTGATAGATTCATAGTACCATAAAGTTTGTAAGGACAGTACTGGCTTTGTTGCAGAAATGTGGGGGACAGGGTATAGGGAACAATCCCCCGGTAAATTAAATGATGTGACATCCTAAGGAAATAGAGGGTACACACGAGAGTCGTAAAAATACATCCTATCCCAGTCACATCACCCTCATGGGGATCTGGCTTAATTATCCCATCGTTGCTGGCCCAATGTCTCTCCCTCTGCAGTTTTCTGCTTTGTTTTACCCTAAGCGACAACCTTTCTGATAGTTGGCCCCCAATGTTATAATACGAGCTGAACCAGCAGATTAAACATCGCACTATGGCTGGCCCTACCTTGCAAACATCCATACCCACAAGAAAAAAAAAAGCAGAGAAAAGAAAAGCCTGATGCTAAAAAAAATTCATCTTCACCCAGGGAGGGCACCGCACAGACTGAGTTCTACAGGGCGAGTAAAGGCTTATAAAGCGTTCCCACGCCCTGCAATTTAACTCGGAGCACTCTTATTGGTTGAGTTACACCAACCAATAAGAGTGCACTGATAGGTAAATTTGAGCCTTGCAAGTAACCAATCAGTCGACAACAATCTTTGTTTGGGGACGTTTCCCCAAACATAGATTTGCGAGATTCCCTGCACTAATAAACTGGTCTATGGTTGAGGTAATTCCCCCGAACGAAGACCGACGCTCTTGCGCATTCCTGTTTTACGATGGAACCCGGTAGGTAAGTGAGGACATCATGTATATAATGTGTGTAATGTATGTGCTACTTGTCTTTGAATATATTGTTTGATTCGGGGCTCATTTTAGTTTAGTCGGTATTTGATCAGCCATTTTCACATAAAAAGCCATTTTCTGTCTAGCAACATAAAAGACCATTTCCATTAAAAATTGATTGTCAATTTGCTTTTTTTTTCATCTTAGGCCAGTCTATTACAGATTCATTTTTCCCTTTTCTATTGCTTCACAATTATAAATTTTACCTCCATGAATATCTGAATTATTTGAGCTCTATCGAAGAAAGACAAACATTCTAAATCAAAATGATAGTGTTACTTCAGGTAGCAGCAGTAGTAGTCTCTGAAATCAAATCAAAAACTTTTATCCAGACTTTATTGACCTTCTCACAGCACCACCACATCATCAATGTTCTTTTTTACATCTCCATTAAAGGGGCTTTTAGTAGCTTTGAATGTACAAAGTTGAGTTAAGCCATCTGTGTTCTAGTTCTTGGCTCAATAGACAGTTATTTTCCCAATTTGATTACAGGTATCCCACCATTGTTTTTTTATCTAGTAGCTTGAATATTTACTTCCCCATGTGTCAAGAGATTTTGGTTTTGTATTAAAGGACCACTCTAGGCACCCAGACCACTTCAGCTTAATGAAGTGGTCTGGGTGCCAGGTCCAGCTAGGGTTAACCCTTTTTTAAATAAACATAGCAGTTTCACAGAAACTGCTATGTTTATAATAGGGTTAATCCAGCCTCCAAATCCTCTAGTGGCTGTATCATTGACAGCCGCTAGAGGCGCTTGCGTGATTCTCACTGTGAAAATCACAGTGAGAGCACGCAAGCGTCCATAGGAAAGCATTGTAAATGCTTTCCTATGAGACCGGCTGAATGCGTGCGCATTCAGCCGAAAGGGAGCGGAGGGGAGGAGGAGAGCTCCCCGCCCGGCGCTGGAAAAAAGGTGAGTTTTAACCCCTTCCTCTCCCCAGAGCCGTGCGGGAGGGGGACCCTGAGGGTGGGGGAACCCTCAAGGGCACTATAGTGCCAGGAAAACGAGTATGTTTTCCTGGCACTATAGTGGTCCTTTAAGTGACAGGTTTTCTAGATAATCATACCAGGCTTGCATTATCTTATTTATTTGTTTTTGTATCTAACAATTTGTCTAACCAATATTTTTTTTTTTTAACTTGTATGTAATTTTACACATATGAGAGCTAATGTAACGTTTAAGTCTAATTAAAGAGAATTTATCTTTTTAAAAGTGGCCCCATATTCATCTTGGTGAAACTCTTTAAACTTAGATATTTGAAAAATATTAAGAATTCCTAATTTATTTATTTTTTTTTCCTTTGGAGACTCTGTGGTAATTTCATATCGACCATGTTATAGTCTAGACTAGGCAACCTTTTAGCAACACTGTGCCGATATAGGATTGTGATGTCCCATAGCGTGCCGGTCCTATTTTTTTAAATTGATGTGTGTATGCTGCCGTATTCTGCTTGTGTTATTTATACTGTAATTACTTTGTATCGTTGTATTTGTGCGTATATGAGCTATTATATTGTATATGTTCAGGAGTAGTTTGTGGTATCGTGTATGAAACCTATGTAGGGGGGCTGCTTGTGGAATTGTGTGTGTGTGGATGAATATGTCACATTGTGTGTTTGGTAGTGTGTGTATGTGTAGGGGCTGTTTGTGGTATTGCATGTGAGAGGCTGCATGTGGGGTTGTGTGCATGTATGTGGATTGTTAGTGGGTTATGTTTGTGTGGATTGTATGTTTGTGGGCTGTTCATATTATTTGTATGAGGGGAGGGTTATTGTGCATTTCTGTGTAAGTCTAGCAGTGTGGGTTGCTTCCCTGGGTTCCAGTGGCCAGGTACAGGTCAAGGACAGGAGCTGCAATAGCAGGGGCAGGCTGCTCTACTACAGGGTGGATCCTCATTCACAAGTGCTGGGAGGAAGTGATCTGAGATCACTTACTCTATGTGCTGCAATGCATAAATTGAGGATTGTCCTTCACCACCTTTTCGTATTAGCAGATATCGGAAGCTTCACTGGGACTCCTGATAGGCCAGCGCCTGTTTAGCTGTAGCAGCCTTGAGTGCCGTGCATGGCACTAGTGCCGTAGGTTGCCTTCCCCTGGTCTATGATTTCTAATGCAGTAGAGATATGACATTTGGAGAGCAAAAAACAGGGCGCAAGAGAATATTGAGAACGGGCAGCAGCTGAAATAGCCTGCCCTTCGGTGGGTCCCCGCTCAGATCTCAAGCTGGGTTTAGCTCATCTTGTGCCATTACAGAGAGAACATCTCTGAAACATATCAGACTGGTCCCACCCATACGGGCAGTCCAGATCTGAAATGCTCGAGATATGACGTTTGCCTGTTAATTGTTTTTTTTTTTTCTTTTTGAATTGGGACTGTTCCCTTATTATGTAGTTTACTATTCTAGAGTTTCAGGGCTGCATATGTTTTAGTTCTTTCTGTTTATACTATAAACGTAGTAGTTGATTACTGTAAGGATGTGATTGAATTTGAATTGCTCTGATTGGCTCACTGTCAAGTCAGTTAAACCAATTGATTTAATTGTTTAGGCGATAATGGTTATCATTCAGCGTCCAAATTACTGTGAGCACTTTCTCCCACAGAGATGTCATTCACACACGGGCAGAGATGTGCAGCTCTTGCAAGTGAAACCTTCACACGCCTCATTGATGCCAAGTATTCCAGTCAGAAGGAATATCTAGCTGCGTTTATCTTGGAGAAAGGTAAGTGCAGTGTACGACACCTTCACCCACTGTATGAAACCTCTGTATAGTGTGTGTGTGTGTGTGTGTGTAATACACCTTCACCCGCTGTATGATATCTTTGTAGTGTGTGTGTGTGTGTGTGTGCGTGTAATACACCTTCACCCGCTGTGAGATACCTCTGTATTGTGTGTGTAATACACCTTCACCCGCTGTGTGATACCTCTGTATTGTGTGTGTGTGTGTGTGTGATACACCTTCACCCGCTGTGTGATACCTCTGTATTGTGTGTGTGTGTGTGTGATACACCTTCACCCGCTGTGTGATACCTCTGTATTGTGTGTGTGTGTGTGTGTGATACACCTTCACCCGCTGTAGGAAACCTCTGTATAGTGTGTGTGTGTGTAACACACCTTCAGCCGCTGTGTGATACCTCTGTATTGTGTGTGTGTGTGTGGTGTGTAATGCACTTTCACATCTGCTTCTTCACCTTCCAACAGAGGTGATGAATGCTAAAGGGGAAATGTATGAAGTCGTAGCACTTGGCACAGGGGCCACATGCTTCCAGCGGCGACAGGAGTATCACGGCCTGATCCTGCATGATAGCCACGCATTAGTGGTGGCAAGGAGGGCATTAATAAGGTAAGCTTAATATGTACATCAGTATGACTGATCTAGAATTGTGGAATGTCCGTTCTTTTTTCCATAATTTTTTTTTAATCTTTTAGTATTTTTCAGAATACAAAAAAAAAAGATGCATATAAAAATATACAAATAATACAATTAAAACATTAAACAAAGGTCTTATTTTGTTATACATGGTTTTGTATTGTGGTAATATCATTAAGTGATCTGGACATAAATGACAAACATATTTACATTAACAATATGATCTAGGAACACAGGTCTTTGAACATTCTATATCAAAGTAGAAAGATTATTTAAAAAGGTATATACATAAATAGATATTCATTTTATAATAAACGTCAAGATTTCTCCATGGTGATTTTTTACACTTTTTAAAACCGAACACTTTGATAAATCTCCCTCATTTTATTTACTAGTAAGAAGAGTAATTTTATTACGGTCTCTTTGTTTTAGATACCTTTACAAGCAGCTTTACTTGTACCACAGTAAACCTCTTATGGCTCAAGAAAAATCTATTTTCTGTTCTTCTGGCAAGAGTCCTCTCTTGACACTGAAACCTAGGATGTTCCTCCATCTGTATTTAAGCAACAGCTCAGAGGGATATTCACCAGGCTGTCTGTGAGTTACCAGTAACTGAGCACGAGGGATTACACATTGGGGCTGTCTGTGAGTTACCGATAACAGAGCACAGGGGATTACACAAATGGGCTGTCTGTGAGTTACCAGTAACAGAGCATAGGGGCTGTCTGTGAGTGACCTATAATCGAGTGCCGGGGATTCCACATAGGGGCTGTCAGTGAGTTACCAGTAACCGAGCACAGGGGATTACACATAGGGGCTGTCTGTGACTGACCTGTAATCGAGAACCGGGGATTACACATAGGGGCTGTCGGTGAGTTACCAGTAACAGAGCACAGGGGATTCCACATAGGGGCTGTCAGTGAGTTACCAGTAACCGAGCACAGGGGATTACACATAGGGGCTGTCTGTGAGTGACCTGTAATCGAGTACCGGGGATTACACATAGGGGCTGTCTGTGAGTTACCAGTAACAGAGCACAGGGGATTACACATATGGGGACGTCTGTGAGTTACCGGTAACAGAGCACCAGGATGAAAGGTAAGTGCAGTGTACGACACCTTCACCCACTGTATGAAACCTCTGTATAGTGTGTGTGTGTGTGTGTGTGTGTGTGTGTGTAATACACCTTCACCCGCTGTATGATATCTTTGTAGTGTGTGTGTGTGTGTGTGTGTGTGTAATACACCTTCACCCGCTGTGAGATACCTCTGTATTGTGTGTGTAATACACCTTCACCCGCTGTGAGTTACCAGTAACAGAGCACAGGGGATTACACATATGGGGCTGTCTGTGAGTTACCGATAACAGAGCACAGGGATTACACATAGGGGCTCTATGTGAGTTACCAGTAACAGAGCACAGGGGATTACACATATGGGGCTGTCTGTGAGTTACCGATAACAGAGCACAGGGATTACACATAGGGGCTCTATGTGAGTTACCAGTAACAGAGCATAGGGGATTACACATAGGGGCTGTATGTGCGTTACCGGTAACAGAGCACCAGGGATTACACATAGGGACTGTGGCAAAATTAACCTCGCCACTTGTACCTGGAGAGGACAGCTTGCCAGCCTCTTGCCATGTGATTATGGTCCCTGGGAGGTTTGGCCCTTTAAATACAAGATTTGGGCATAATGGATTTTTGTTGTGTTGCTGCTGGCCCTTTAAGAACCATCTGGGGACATATTGTGACTTTTGGGAACAATGCCCCTTTAAGGCTCCTGGAAGATATTGCCCGGTGAAGACTATTTTAGCAGATTGGATTTGGACTTGCTGCCCCTTTAAATTGTATTGGAGCAGTTCTGCAGCTTTAAATTGGCACTTCGGATGCAGCCGAAGTAGTCGAAGTGGCCGCCATTCGACAACCGAACACGTGGTATGTGTAGCCAAATCCATGAAACTGAAATCGGCTACACATTTCAACGAACACCGCTGTGGCGAAACCAGCCTCGCCACGTGTCCTTGGAGGGGGCTGCTTGCCCGCCTCTTGCCTTTGGACTATGGACCAGACTTTATGTGAATGTATTAACCCAGATAGCTATGCCATGGAGCCCACTGTGTGAATAGGATCTGAGCGCTATTCGGTAGTTTTGTGCGCTCAGATCCCAGCTATCTGGGGATATGTGACATGTCTGTGTGTACTTTGTGACTTTGTGTATTTTATAATATTTTAATGCTTTGTGCTCACCATGTGCATAATGGAGTCTTGTGTCTGTCCTGGGAGATAATTGAATTACTTCTCAATTCAATCTCCAGGATAGAAGACTCTGAAACTGGTTTGGGCCGGAAAGCCATGCTTCATTTAGTCACAAAGGACTTTCCCTTAACTTTTGAACCCCTGGTCTGATTCGTGCCATTTTTTAATATGTTGTTCCCCTGAATGGATTGATTATGAAAAGGTATGTTTTATGTTTGTGACATGTATATTTTAGAAGTTATAAATATTGTGTAAAAACTGTATTCCTCTGCCGGTGATAATGAGATTACCCATTGTGTTCAGTAATCATATCACAGGCAGAGGGTAGGAGTTTGTGTGGGAGTGTCTGGGTGTATTGTACGGATTAATTGGTTGTTTTGTAACGCCCTGTGGGCTGTACTATGTTTGTGGATTGGGAATAAAAGAGACTGTATGTGACAGTACAGGGAGTTCCTGCTTAACCCTCAAAGTGAAGTGTCGTCTCATTATTGGGGGAGGATTCATTGTATGCTGTTCCAGTTTGACTGCTAGGAGTGTAAACCTATTCGCATGGTTTTTCCTATTCGGCTGTATACAACATTCATATGCTCCTACAGTTTGGTGGTTTTGGTGTCTGCTGCAGTGCTTGGAGCCCTCAGGATCGCTAGGAGCATCCTTCAACGGAGGTACCCAGTCGGGGTGCCAGGTGATCCGTTACAACCGCTGACCTTTACCTTCTCCTGCACTCCGTTTTCAGCTGCAGAGACTGTCCCATTCGGCAGTTTGAACTCACTGCTATACTAAGCTAAATGCACGAACGGCCCCGTTCGTGCATTAGAATGGGACTTAGTCATTTTTCTGTGTTAAATAGACCAACCGCACAGCCCAAATCTATGGAACTGTTTTGGGCAGGAAAATGTGCTTGCAGTCGGTCATAAAGGACTCCCAGCTAACTTTTTATCTACTGGGGGGATTTGTGTGATTGTTGGTTATGTTTATATTTAAAGTATGCTGATTCTGAATATGTATGTTGTATGTGAATATGATGCATATTTTTAAAGTTACAATATATGTATAAAAAGTGTAATTTTTCTGCCTGTGATAATTACTTTAACCCATTGTGTTCAGTAATTATATCACAGGCAGAGGGGAGGGATTATATGTTGGGGCTGGGTGTTTTTTTGTGGTTTTCCTGTAAATGATTGGTTGTACTGTGTCCCACCCTGTGGGATGTCCCCTTGCATAGGGACTTGCATAAAAGCAGAGTGTCATTAAAAGTCAGCCTTGTTCCAGCATTAAGCTTTGGCTCATGTGTGGATTATTTGGCGATACCAGCGATATTTATTCCTGTGGATTACTTGGTGATTTTCTTTTATGGGAAGAAGGGAATGCTTGACGGTGATACAGTTTACTACCGTCACAGGGGCTGTATGTGAGTTACCGGTAACAGAGCACAGGGGATTACACACAGGGGCTGTGTGAGAGTTACCAGTAACAGAGCACCAGGGATTACACATAGCTGTCTGTGAGTGACCGGTAACAGAGCAGAGGGGATTACACATAGGGGCTGCCTGTGAGTGACCGGTAACAGAGCACAGGGGATTACACATAGGGGCTGTCTGTGAGTGACCAGTAACAGAGCACAGGGGATTACACATAGGGGCTGTCTGTGAGTGACCAGTAACAGAGCACAGGGGATTACATATAGGGGCTGTCTGTGAGTGACCGGTAACAGAGCACTGGGGATTACACGTAGGGGCTGTCTGTGAGTGACCGGTAACAGAGCACTGGGGATTACACGTAGGGACTGTCTGTGAGTGACCGGTAACAGAGCACTGAAGATTACACGTAGGGGCTGTCTGTGGGGATAGCACTTGTGATCGACACGTGTTGAAGTTGTGAATACTTGTTAGTGACACATGGAGAGGTTGGAAGTAATGGTGCATGTGTGGCATGAGGCAGTTCTCACTATTATGGCACCGTTTAATTTTTAAACCTGTACAAACATGTCACTGATTTGTTACTGTCTTATAATGTTTATGTTTTGTAGCTCATGGGCTGAAAAATCTCAGTACATCTCTCTCCATGTCCATGCGAAGGGTTCTTTGGTCCCTGTGTCAAACTGTTCTCCCAGTGTTTTGGGTTCACACGTGTGCTGTATGTCCGCCTTTGACAAGCTAATGAGATGGAGTGTGACAGGAATCCAAGGAGCTCTGCTCAGTCAGAGCATTGAACCAGTATATATATCCAGCATTGTTCCAGGTGTATCTCTGTCTTTCTATCCCCAGCAATGTCTGAGTATTGTATGTGTGTATATATCTATGTTTATATATCTCTCCAGCATTGTGTGTGTGTATATACCGTAAATCTTTGTTTGTATAGCTCTCCAACATTGTGTGTGTATATTTATATATCTCCAGCATCGTGCGTGTTTATATATGTTTATATATCTCTCCAGCATTGTGTGTGTGTATCTATATTTATATATTTCTCCAGCATTGTGTGTATAGTTCTGTTTATATATCTCTCCTGCATTGTGTGTGTATATATATTTATATATTTCTCCAGCATTGTGTGTATAGATCTGTTTATATATCTCTCCTGCATTGTGTGTGTATATATATTTATATATTTCTCCAGCATTGTGTGTATAGATCTGTTTATATATCTCTCCTGCATTGTGTGTGTATCTATATTTATATCTCTCTCCAGCATTGTGTGTGTATCCATAGTTATATATCTCTCCTGCATTGTGTGTATATCTACAGTAAGGAAAAAAAGTATTTGATTCCCTGCTGATTTTGAACATTTGTCCATTGACAAAGAAATGATCAGTCTATGATTGTAATGGTAGGTGTATTTTAACAATGAGAGACAGAATAACAACAAAAAAATCCAGAAAAACGCATGTCAAAAAACATATAAATTGATTTGCATGTCAATGAGTGAAATAAGTATTTTATATAGCTCCCCAGCAGTGTGTGTGTGTGTGTGTGTGTGTATCTAAATTTATATATCTCTCTGAAACGGCACCCCCAGGCATAAAAGGGGTTAAAAGCCGTTTAGTAGATCTTCCCTTCCAGAGACACAGGCACAGCTACTGTAGAACACCAAACTCCCAAACTGGATGCAAGGGAATGCTCCAAACTCCCGAACTGGAACCTCACGAATAGCTGCTAGCAGCTGAACAGGAAAAGCACCCAAGCGGCTTACACTCCTGGCAGTCAGTCTCTTAACAGCATACAGTAAATCCCCCCAAGAACGAGACAAGGCTCCGTTTTGACGGTCAAGCAGGAACAGACAGAGCTTAGAAACAAAAAATGTGACGGCAGATAAGAACCATTCGGCCCATCTAGTCTGCCCAATTTTCTAAATACTTTCATTAGTCCCTAGTCTTATCTTATAGTTAGGATAGCCTTATGCCTATCCCACGCATGCTTAAACTCCTTTACTGTGTTAACCTCTACCACTTCAGCTGGAAGGCTATTCCATGCATCCACTACTCTCTCAGTAAATTAATACTTCCTGATATTATTTTGAAACCTTTGTCCCTCTAATTTAAGACTATGTCCTCTTGTTGTGGTAGTTTTTCTTCTTTTAAATATAGTCTCCTCCTTTACTGTGTTGATTCCCTTTATATATTTAAATGTTTCTATCATATCCCCCCTGTCTCGTCTTTCCCCAGCTGTTGGTTTATTGTTCTTATATACACATTAGTACCACCCACAGGGTTTTGGAAAACAACCAATAAACACGTACAATACACTCAGACACTACCACACAAAATCCTCCCCTCTGCCTGTGATACAATTACCTTACACAATGGGTAATGTAATTTTCACAGCCAGAGAAATACAGTTTTTTCACATTATTTATAACTTTAAAAGTATGCATCACCTCCACATAAAACATTTTCAGAATCAGTATACTCCAAATACAAACATATGTCAAAATCATCCAAATTGGTCCAGTGGTTCAAAAGATAGATCGTAGTCCTTTGTGACCAAAGGAAGCATGGCTTTTCTGCCCAAAACCAGTTCCACAGAGTCTTCTATCCTGGAGATAATTGGGAAGTAATCCAATTATCTCCAAGGACAGAGGCAAAACTCCATTAAGCACATGGCAGTAAAAAGACCGTAAAATACAATAAAATACACAAGGTTACATTTATGACATAAAATACAGACATTCAACATATGCCCAGATAGCTTAGGTCTGAGTGCACATTAATACTGAATGGCGCTCAGACCACACACACATACAGTTCAATTGTCATGGAGCCAAAGTCTTTTATTACACGAATAGGCTCCATGGCATAGCTATGTGGGTTATATGAGTTCATTCAGTAAATCCGAGAATCTACCGAACGCCAGGGCAGAAAACTTGAATAGACCTTTCTGCATAGGAAAATAGGGTATTTAAATGCCGGTCCATAGTCAAAAGGCAGCAGGCAGGCAACCAGGCTCCTCCAATGCACAGTGGCGATATTGGTCTCGTCACACTCTCCACACGTGTTTCTTGGGATCCCTTACGTCAACTATTGACTTGGTAAGATGGACTCATTGGCATGTAAGACCTCCTCAGACAAACTTTCTAAGACAAATCAACAAGAAGACACGCAAATCTACCTGTCCTCTCCTGATCTCTCCCCGTCCCTCTTGACTAGTGTCTCTGACTGCCTCTCTGCTGTTTCTAACTGGATGGCTGCCCACTTCCTTAAACTAAACTTGACCAAAACTGAAATTCTGGTCTTTCCTCCCTCAAGTGTTGTTACTCCTGTGTCTGTCTCCCTCCAAGTCAACGGGGCTACCATCAGCTCCACCGCGCAGGCTCGCTGCCTAGGTGTTCTCTTTGACTCCGACCTCTCCTTCAAGCCTCATGTTCAATCTATCACCAAATCCTGTCATTTCCATCTCAAAAACATTGCGCGCATCCGCCCCTACTTAACGCCAGATGCGACTAAGGTGTTGGTCCATTCCACTGTCCTTTCTCGCCTTGACTACTGTAATCCGCTTCTCAGTGGTCTTACGTGCTCCCAACTTGCGCCGTTACAGTCCATAATGAATGCGGCGAGGCTCATCTTCCTGTCCGCCCGCACTTCCCATGCCTGACACTTCTGTCAGTCCCTACATTGGCTTCCTATAAAATATAGAGCTCAATTGAAAATTCTGGTTCTTGCTTTCATATCTCTACATAATGCTGCTCCCACCTATCTATCCTCCCTTATACACAAGTATGTCCCGTCTAGGCCCTTACGATCTGCTGAAGACTTACGTCTATCTTCTGTCCGTACTCCCACCTCTGATGCTCGCCTTCAAGATTTCTCGAGGGCTGCACCGTTCCTGTGGAACTTGCTTCCCTCCTCCGTTAGATGCTCACCCAGTCTCCACTCCTTCAAAAAATCGTTAAAAACCCACTTCTTCATAAAAGCGTATCAATTAAACTGTTAATAGCTCCTGACTGATTCCTCTTCTGCAACTGTCACTAGTCTAATACTATCCTTACCTTTTTTGTGTCATTTTACCCCACTCCCTCTAGCATGTAAGCTCATTGAGCAGGGCCCTCAACCCCTCTGTTCCTGTGTGTCCAACTTGTCTGGTTACAACTACATGTCTGTTCGTCCACCCGTTGTAAAGTGCTGCGGAATTTGACGGCGCTCTATAAATATCATAATAATAATAATAACCTATTATTATTTCCCAGGAACTTAAACTTTGTTCAAGATGGTGGCTTCAGAAACAGAACCTAAGCAGAGTATTTCCTCTGGAAGAACCAAGTTGGGAGATAACGGATGCCATTTTCAAGGGCTGGAGAGCCCACTTCATCAACCTGATAGCCCAAGGAGCTTGAAACACGAGGAGTCATTATCTCCACTCGAACATTCTGGAACTAAGAGCAGTCCTTCAAGGCACTGATGTCGTTTTCCGACCACTTGCAGAACAAGTTGGTATTGATAAAAACCGACAACAGGTCTGTAGCATCGTACTTCAACAATCAGGGAGGAAAAAAAAGTAGGAAACTACTATTCGAACTTCTACCAATAATCACATAGGCCCAGAACCATATACAGGGATTGAAACCCCAGTGCATTTTCCGGAGAGAGTGAATAAACCAACAGACTTATTAAGCCAATCCCACATAGACCTGGGAGAATAGAGTCTGAACAGGGATGGTTTCCAGGATACAACTTCGAAGTGAGGCATGCCATAGATTGACCTCATGGCATCATATAAGAACTCCCAAGTCCCATGATTCTTCTTAAGATGGCAAGATCATCAAGCAGAAGCACAGGATGCACTCTCCCAGGAATGGAAATTTTGCCAAGAATGTGTTTCCCCCAATCCTTCTGATTCCCAGAGTCCTGGAGAAGATATGACAGGAGAAAGCTATGGTGATTGCAGTTATACCCATATGGCCAAGGAGACCATGGTACCCTCACCGTCTCCAATTATCTAGTACCACCTCTGATTATCCCTTTAGATGGGACCTACTGCTGCAGGGTTCAACAGTCCACCCAGCCCCTTACTCTCTCAATCTGGGGGCCTGGCTCTTGAAAATAACAGAGTAGAGTACTGTATCGCTCATTCAGTGATAGAAACCTTACTGAAGGCTAGAAAAATATCAACATCCTCCTATTACCACAGAATATGGGACATATTAGGGAATGGGTCAGTGCCAAAGGCCAGGATGTCCTTAATCCATCTGTCTTCCTCATTTTGGACTTTCTCCATGAAGGCCTGGACAAGGATCTGTGTTTAAGCACATTACGTTTTCAAGTGCCTGCTTTTCTGCCCTGACCAACACCAGATGTGCTCTGGATCCATTAATAAGTAGATTCTTTAAAGCAGTAATTCGCATTAGACCACCTAGAAAGCAAACTCTCCTCTGTGGGATCTGCTTTTGGTCTAGAAGTCCATGACAAGAGAATCATTTGGGCCTCTAGAGCAGCGATGGCGAACCTATGGCTCGCCGAGCACTCTCTGTGGGTACGCAGCCATAGGTCGCATGGGGGAGAACGGGGCGCCGGTTGGAAGCCTTAGGCCCCTCGGCAGCAATGCAGAGTAGCAGGGCTGATCCTGGGCGGGTGCATGGGGTGCAACGTGCCCAGGTGCCAAAAGGTGGGGGGTGCCCCTGGGGCAGTGGAGCTGTGGGGTACAGAGGGAGCCAAACAAAACAAAAAAATTTAATTAATTGTGTGGCTCCGTGATTTGAGTGTTTCATTATGTCTGTATGTGCCCACAATACTGTCCCCAGTCCCCCCACTAGAGCTTTAATCCCCAACAATACTGTTCATATCCTCCCCAACCTAAAGCCCCCACTGGACCTTTTATCAAGCATTACTGACTTGATTTGGCTTCTACATCATCGCATTTCAGATGTAGTGTTTTGCAAACTGTTGCCTTCAGCAAATAAAATACTAAGTAGTTTTTTTTTCCCGAAAATTTAAATGTCTCTGCCCTTCATTAAAGCTTGGTTATTAACATAATGCTACAATGTTTAGCCAGGAAACGAGCATATTGTCAAATACTTACCGTAATTTTCTTTTTGTGGCTAATTTATATGGAATTGCGCTTCCTTCTTTCTAGGTATCATTTTAGTCTAGCTTTATAAAAGACTGGGGGAATCAGGGGGAGGGGGCTTTCATTCTGTATGGTAATTAATCAATTATTCCTGTCCTGACAGCAGGGTTGAAGCTTTACCCAAAAGTGATGCTGCCATGTAACTTAGCAAGGAAAAGAAAATTAAGTTTAATATTGATAACATTTTCTATTTTTATATATCTCTCCAGTAGAGAGAGAGAGAGAGAGAGAGAGAGTGTGTGTGTGTGTATCCATCTACCTTTCCATCCATCTCTAGGTTTTTTCTGAATATTTAATTTGTATATAGCTATATTTAATATATATCTCCAGCAATGTCTGAGTATAGTATTTACGTGTGTGTGTCTATATATATATATATATATATATATATATATATATATATATATATATCTATATACATATATATATATATATATATATCTAGCGTTGTATTGCATATCCATGTATATGTATAACCATGTAATTTATATTGTTTTTTGCCATCTCTATAAATGTGTTTTAGGCGGCTCTGACGAACAGATGCTCTTGTTCAATCTTGCCATT